TTTTCCTCTAGCAGCGGCCAAGAAGCCCAGCCCATACCCAGCCCAGACCACCTGCTCCTCAGGGAGGCCAGCCTTGCTGGCAGGGTCACCTCACCCAGCTTTGCAGCCCCACTGCAGTTTAGGAAAAAGAACTTCAGGCTTTCAGCAGGTGATACCCTCTGAACAACACAAGCCCAAATCCCTCTATCCAGCTGGTCTGAGCCGAGGATGGGATCAGCCTGAGAGCCTCAGGCTCAGCCTGTATTCTTGAGGGGCCCTGAGTGGCTTGGTGAGCAGGCAGTGCTTACCTCTCCGGTTCAAAAGGTGCAGGAGCAGTTGAGAGGAACTCAGGGGCTGAGAGGTTGGAGGTAGCCAGACAATGGGAAAGGGAAGAAGCCCAGGAAGCATGAAGTGAGGCCGCAGGTGGTGCTTCCCTGGGATGAGGTCAGAGGCCACCGCCAGGGAGTGTTTGTTCCCAGGCAGCTGTAGCCCCACCTCCTTCTCACGAGGCCTGTAAGCTGATGGGAATAGCACCCCACGCCAAACCCATCCTGCCTGAGATTCTTTTGGTAACTTTTATTTTGCTGTAACTTCAAACTTACAGACAGGTTGCAAGAAGAGTACAAAGAACTCCCTTCCACCCCTCTTCTCCCCAGTTCTTGGCATGTTGTCCCACCTGCTTTAGCCTTCACGAGTCCCCTCTCACTCTGCATGTTTGATTTCCAACACCTTAGAAAGTAATTTGCAGACATGATGGCGATTTCCTCCTAAATACCTCAACGTATGTTTCTTACAAACAAGGACATTCTGTTACATTATCCCAATGAGCAAAACAGCAAGGATGCAAGGTTTTTGTCTAATCCCAAAGCCATATGCGAATTTCACCAATCATCCCAATTTTCAGCTTAATTTTGTCCTTTTTTTTTTGAGACAGAGTCTCACTCTGTCGTCCTGGCTAGACTGAGTGTCATGGCGTCAGCCTAGCTCACAGCAACCTCAAACTCCTGGGCTCAAGCGATCCTCCAGCCTCAGCCTCTGGAGTAGCTGGGACTACAGGTGTACGCACGACGGCTGGATAATTTTTTCTATTTTTGGTAGAGACGGGGGTCTCACTCTTGCTCAGGCTGGTCTCGAACTCCTGACCTCAGGCGATCCTCCCGTCTCTGCCTCCCAGAGTGCTAGGATTACAGGAGTGAGCCACCTATCTGGCCTTATTGTCCTTTTTGATGATCATTTAATCACACAACTAACACAGGACTGCAGCCTCTGTGTGAAACATTACAGATAAGGCCAAAGTAGCGCTCTGATCACCACCAGGAGCCTTTGGCTGGGGCTCCCCAGGGCATTGTGAGGAGCTGCGAGAGAGGTTGTGAGACATCGGACTGAGGGGGAGGAGGAGGAAATGGCCCTTTTCCCTGGCTGGCCAGCCAGGCAGACAGCTGTAGGGGCCCTCCTTCCTGTGGCTGACTAGGCAGCCGGGCTCAGACCTTTGAGCCTCCCATCTCCCCAAACCACAGCCCAGAGGTGTGAAAGAAAGAAAAAAACAGGGGGAGGGGTGGCAGAGAAGAGCCAGGTGCACATTTCGCACCTTGACCACAGGCGGGGCGCGGAGCAGCTTCACTCTGACTAACTTCCTCCTCAGGCTACCCTGATGGCTGCTCTGGAGGGCAGAGGCAGGAGGGCACATGGGCCAGAACTTAGATCGCATGCCCTTGGCTAGCTGGCTCTCCCCAGGGGCTGGGCCTGGCTCTGACCTTGTCTGGGAGCTGCTTGGGACTGGGAAGAACCAAATGAGAGAGCTGGACACGGGCTTGGCTCAGCTCCACGACACAGGAAACTTCCAAGGTACCTTAGCTGTGTGCAACGGCAGAAGCCCAGCACGGACTTGCCATTCCGAGGCTTGGGAGGGGTTGGTTTGGCAAGTTACTAGATGGGGAGGAGGCTGCGGCTCACCGGGCACCTACCCTGCACCAGACACTTTCGACAAGTTATCATTTGCAGTCCACAGAGCAACCCTATCAGATATGCACTATACTTACACCCATTTTTTCAGATGAGGAAACTGAGGCAGAGAAATGAGATGATTTGCCGGGATTATACAATCCTCTGGACAGCCAGAGGATTTGGCTAGGACTGGCAAACCGCCGCCCCCCCCACACACACAACCCCAGCTAAGGCCAGGGATGGCCTTTCTGGGAAACCAGTCCTCAGGCCAAGTCCATGGCTGCACGCCCCACGAGCGCCACCCTCTATCGCTGGCTCCCTGACGTGAAAGGCTCCCAGTGGCTCTAGGTTTTTAGCCAATATCCCTGTCCCTCCACATTCTCAACTGAGGACCTACTAAGCACTGGGCCCTGTGCCAGGAGCTTACGGCCTTAGTTATCTAGTTCATCTTTTCACAACCCCACTGAGGAAACCAGCTCGACACGGTTATGTAATTTGTCCAAGATCACACAGTTCAACAGAGGGGAGTCGGGGCTGGAGCCCAGACAGGTTCAGCGTTCTTCCCGCTGCGTCACCTTATCTCGGGGAGCAGCGAGGGCAGCCTGTCCCCAGCCCGGCCCAGACCCTGCGGGTCCGCCCTGATAGCAGCAAGTCAGGGCTCAGACCGGAAAGCTCTCTGCACCTTTCCAAAGCCCCCGCCCTGCCCTTCTCTCATTTATCCTTCCCAGCAACCCGGGGAGGTGGGGACTGTCAGCCCTGTGTGACAAATGAGGCTGGGGCACCAGGGATCCCCAGACTTTCATCTTTCACATGGACCAGAACATTTCAACATCTGTTTGGACGACCCACATTGGCTCGTCGGCTGCCAACATGAGATATTTCCAAAACTCCCATCTATTTCCCCCATCATTTCAGAAAGAAAAGGCCCTTTTAAAACCAAAACGGGGATGAACACGATTGTCAAATACAAGACGTCTTTTCAATTGAACAAATGTAGCTTTCTGTGCTCGTTTTTCTCATTCGCACAAGTCCAGGGAACTCAAACCGTGGTCCCGGCTCCTGTCCCTTTTCCATCCCCACAGGTAGTCACTTGCCAAGTCTGCTCATCCTAACTGGCCCGGCTTCTGGACTCCTCCTGGCCCCCTCCACTTGACTGCTCCCCACCTCCTCCAGGCCCTCAATTCCCTCTGGCCTGAACCCAGCAGGTGACGAGCTGTTCCCAGCGAGGAGAGTCACATCTGCCCACAGAAGGAAGGGAAGGACCTGAAGCCTTGAGAGTATGTGTCACATCCATAAGTCTGAACTGAATTCCAGGCACGAGCCCGGAGGCTTTAGGGGTACAGTCTGGCTGAGACTGGGCCCCGAGGCCATGGGCTAGCATGTGCCTGTCTCTTTCACTGCTTTCCCTCTGCAGGAGAGAGGGGGAAAGGAAACTGCTTGGGAGACGCAACTTAGGGGCCACCTTGCCGCTACTGATGAGAACAGGGCGACAGGGAGGGGAGAAAAGGGCAACAGGGAGAGCTGGGGCAGGTGGGGAGAGGGACATTTTCCACCACTCTCTGCCATAAAGTCACCACTTTGCTGTGCTGAGGCTGTCTTACAGCTTTTCCTTAAAATCAGGAGGTGCCTACGGATGCTCCCCGACCCCCATTCCCCTTGTCGCCCCAGAAGCAACTGCTTTCATGAGTTCATGGTGTCTCCAGCTCTTGTTTTAAACTTTGAGAACAGTCGTATCCAAAAAAGTATAGTATTGCTTTTTGCGGTGGTTTTTAGAATTTATGTAAGCGGTGTCAAACTATACACAATATTCTGTAACTTGCCTCTCCCACCGAATGGTTGTTGGCTGTTCTAGTTGCACCCATGTTAAAATACATAGCTTTAAGGCCGGGCGCGGTGGCTCACGCCTGTAATCCTAGCACTCTGGCAGGCCGAGGAGGGCGGATCGTTTGAGCTCAGGAGTTCGAGACCAGCCTGAGCAGGAGCGAGACCCCGTCTCTACTAAAAATAGAAAGAAATTAATCAGACAACTAAAAATGTATAGAAAAAAAATTAGCCAGGCATGGTGGCGCATGCCTGTAATCTCGGCTACTCGGGGGGCTGAGGCAGGAGGATCGCTTGAGCCCAGGAGTGTGAGGTTGCTGTGAGCCAGGCTGACGCCACGGCACTCACTGTAGCCCGGGGAAAAGAGTGAGACTCTGTCTCAAAAAAAAAAAAAAATACATAGCTTTAGTTCGTTTGAACTCCATGAATATATCATAGTTTATCCATTTAAAAGAAACTGAAGGCAGTGTGATGAGTGGGAAAAGGAGAGTCAGATGGCTGTGGGTTCGGTCCTCACACCCACCCTTGCTCACTCGCTGCCTGGCAAAGGCCTTTCCGCTTTCTGAATCATCCGTGCAGACAACCCCCACCTCACAAGGGAGTCGAGTGCTTGGAATGAGACAGCGTCCGAGAAAGCACCTAAAGCAATGTCTAGCACATAGCGAGTTCATTACTAGTAGTTCCCTTTCCTTCCCCCTGCTAATCAGTGGGGAGGGGCCATGGTAAAGAACTAGACTTAGTGTGATGGATTGGTTTTAATATGTGAATTTTTATGAAGGTGACTCCCCTTTACAGACTTAACACCTTTCACGATCCAGTCTTCACAATCATGCAAAGATCAACTAACTCCAGGCCAGAACAGTTGGGCATGAGTTCCAATCTATTGAGCACTGACCCTACCAGGACAGGAGAAGTAATTCTTCTTCTTCTTCTTTTTGTTTTGGGGAGAAATAATTGTTGCCCCTGGCAGCAGCGCTGCCCTTCACTTCCCAGCTGCGTTGCTCCTCCTTCAGATCTCCCCCCTCAAAGACCTGCCCCCACCCAGCCACCTCCAGACCTTCCCTAGGGCCCAGCCTTTCTGGTCCCAAGCTGTGGCCAGCTCCTCCAGAGCAGCTTCAGCCAGCCCGGGAACGGGTGGGCTAAGAGCTCTGTGGCCTGGGGTCCGGGAAGGTCTTGTGTAGATAACCCCCTGGAAGAGGCTGCCGCTGAGAACCGCGTGAAACGCTCACTTCCTCTGTGCATGCAGGTTTCCAGCCACAAGCAGCCAAGCAGAGGGGCAGGCAGCACGCGGCCCGGCGGCCAGAGCGCCAGCCCAGCCATGGTCCCTGAGGTAAGTGCCGCTGCCCAGCCAGGCCAGGCCGCAGCTTGGAGTGGAGAACCCAGGACACTAGGGAAACACCAGGGCTCGCCCACAGCCCAGGGTCACCAGAGGGTTGGGTGAGTAGGTGGCAGCTGCAGAGGTTGTGTTAGAAGGAGCACCAGACAGGGAATTGGGAACCCAGCTTGGCCACTGACCACGGGCGAGTCTCCTCCTCTCTCTGGCTTTAGCGCCCCATCTGCAAAAGTCAGGGCGGGGGCTAGAGGCTCAACCTTGATGACCTCTGAACCTCCCTCCAGCTGACTGGGGACTTTGACTTTCGTGTGCTGGACTGAATTGGCCCTGGGAAGGCCTGCAGGTCTGGGGTGGTTTGGGGTGTGGGTGAGGGGGTAGAGGAGATTCCTGCTAGAGCTTGGTGGGGGATCCCCCAGTGGGTGGGCGGCTACATGGGCGCGCAAGCCTCGGTATAGGGAAGGGGAAGGATGGGCAGAAAGCACGCGTTTAGGGGGGCTGCAGTGATTCATAGGGAGTCCCCATGAAGGTCAGGAAGTTGGGGTTCCCGGACAACAGCTGAAGAGGGGAGAGGAGGGCTAGCGACTGGGAGAGGGGGCGGCAGGGAGGCGCCTGGGGAGGAAGGTGGTTGAACTAGGTGTGGCCGGGGCACTGAGGACGCAAGGCGAGTGGTGAAGGGGGTGGCAGGCAGAGGGCAGAGCAGGCAGGGAGGGCTCTGCATGCGAACCTGAGGGAAGCTCTTCCTCCCACCCAGGATCCCTGGGCCAATGGGATCACCCAGAAGGGTGAGAGAAAAGCAGCCTTTGAGAAGGGAAGTCAGCGTCCCAGAGCCCCGCGTGGATGGAGGGGTTCCGGTGTGCCCCTGGAAGAAAAGTGGGGACAGTTACAGGGTCTGGTCAGGGCCTGCCTTAGGGAGGAGCTGCTCAGAGGAACGCCCCTCAGACTCAATCTGGAAGGACTGGTTGCCGGGCCCCTGTCACCTTCTCCTCCCTCTGCAGATGAGCGACCACCAAGTGCTGGATGTCTCTGAGATTGCCTCCCTCCTGGAAAACTTCAGCTCTTCCTACGACTATGGAGAAAATGAGAGTGACTCCTGCTGTGCCTCCCCACCCTGCCCGCAGGACTTCAGCCTGAACTTCGACCGGGCCTTCCTGCCGGCCCTCTACAGCCTCCTCTTTGTCCTGGGGCTGGTGGGCAACGGCGCCGTGGCGGCCGTGCTGCTGAGCCGGCGGGCAGCCCTGAGCAGCACCGACACCTTCCTGCTGCACCTGGCCGTGGCCGACGCGCTGCTGGTGCTGACGCTCCCGCTCTGGGCGGTGGACGCTGCCGTGCAGTGGGTCTTCGGCTCCGGCCTCTGCAAGGTGGCAGGCGCTCTCTTCAACATCAACTTCTACGCGGGGGCCCTCCTGCTGGCCTGCATCAGCTTTGACCGCTACCTGAGCATAGTGCATGCCACCCAGCTCTACCGCAGGGGCCCCCGGGCCCGCGTGGCCCTCACCTGCATAGCTGTCTGGGGGCTCTGTCTGCTCTTTGCCCTCCCAGACTTCATCTTCCTGTCGGCCCGCTATGACGAGCGCCTCAACGCCACCCACTGCCAGTACAACTTCCCGCAGGTGGGCCGCACGGCTCTGCGGGTACTGCAGCTGGTGGCTGGTTTCCTGCTGCCCCTGCTGGTCATGGCCTACTGCTATGCCCGCATCCTGGCGGTGCTGCTGGTCTCCAGGGGCCAGCGGCGCCTGCGAGCCATGCGGCTGGTGGTGGTGGTGGTGGTGGCCTTTGCCCTCTGCTGGACCCCTTACCACCTGGTGGTGCTGGTGGACACCATCATGGACCTGGGGGCCCTGGCCCGCAACTGTGGCCTGGAGAGCCGTGTGGACGTGGCCAAGTCGGTCACCTCAGGCCTGGGCTACATGCACTGCTGCCTCAACCCGCTGCTCTATGCTTTTGTGGGTGTCAAGTTCCGAGAGTGGATGTGGACGCTGCTCTCGCGCCTGGGCTGCCCCGACCGGAGAGGCCTCCAGCGGCAGCCGACGTCTTCCCGCCGGGATTCATCCTGGTCCGAGACCACAGAGGCCTCCTACTCTGGCTTGTGAAGCTGGAATGGGGGCTCCCGTTTCACCCCACAGCCTGACTCCCCCCACTTTCCAGGCTCCTCCCTCCCTCTCAGCTGGGCCGGCTCTGGCTGTCCCCACAGCCTGGCCCCTGGCACTCACGGGCGGCCCCAGCACCGCCGGCTCTCCCAGGAAGCTGCCCTCCGGCCCCGGGCGCTGCGCCGCTTGCTGCTCCTCAGCAGGCAAGCACCACCCTGCCGCCTCAGAGGTGGCCGCCAGGAGCCCCACTGCCCTTCTCATTCGGAAACCAGAACTTGGCCTTCCCCCGTGGGGCCGGGAAAGGAGCATAGAGGACACTGCCCCTGTGGGGCTGCGGCCCAGGCCTCCAGCTCAGCAGCGACTGTGGCTGGGGTCCCCAAGATCTGTTTGCTCACTTCTATTTTTATGTCTAAATTCCTGCTTAAAACTTTTCAATAAACAAGCCCCTGAGGACCAGGGTGTGTTAGTGCATCATTGCAGCAGCCCTCCCTGGGCTCTGGGGATGCACTTCCTGCTTCCCCTTGCCTCGCTCTGGCGCTGTGCCAGCCTATCCTGCCTTCATTAACGTCCCTCAGCCGCCTTTGCTCTGCCCTCCCGGGCACTCTCGTTCTAGTCACAGGCAAACGCCAGGTACAGGGGTGCAGGGCAAGCAGGTAGGCTACTGGTTGGCACAATCAGGGAAAGGGGCTGTCACATGAATAAGAGCTAGACTCTGAACTCCAGCTCAGGACAGCAGGAAAGATGTGGTTAGAACTGGGGATGCCAAGCAGCCTGTGCCATGAGGCAAAGGAGTCGCACATGGACAATGAACCTAGGGCTCAGAGCACTGAAGGCCGGCGCCATTGGGAAGGCTTCCTGAAGACTTAAAGGACAAGGAGTATTTCCAAGGGTGAAGAGAGGTAAAGACAGTATTTCCAGGCAGAAGGGAGGGAGGCTGGAAACAGCAATGCTTATCAGAGGAATTGTAAGTGGTCCCAACTGGCTAGTTAAGGGTTCAGGTAGGGAAAGGGTTGAAAAGAAGACTGAAAGGTAGATTGTGATCAGGCGATGGTATTAGAGACCAGCCAGAAGGCTGAATTTGTTATTCAGGTGAGAGGTGACGCAGGCGATTACTAGGGAGATGGCAGTGGGCTTGCAGAAAAGCAACAAGGCTGGGCGACTCACCAACCGTCATGAACACATAGCCACCTGGAGACAGGCTGTGGGGACCATTTCTCCAGGGCGAGGGTGCGGCTGAAGTGAGCGGAGGAAACTCGGGCTGCCCCGAAGGGCAGGTGGCAGGGCCACTGAGCTAAGGCAGAAGGTGAAGGGCCGAGTGGGTACACTGCACTGTCGGGGCCCTTGCGGAAACTGCCGATATGGCTGGAGGTGGGACTGGGAAGTAGGAATCCCAGGAGTTAGCTGGGGAAGCTCGTCCCACCCCGTAAACACACCCAAGCCCATCTAGCTTTGTGGTTTGGAGTTCGTGGCCACTAAAAGAACACTCTAAGCTTCTGCAAAATGAAGGAAGGAAGGAAGGAAAATGACAGAATAACACATCTTGCCTATAAAAAGTGTCAGCGATGCTAGACTAGTGAAGATGCCTGCGGCAGGCTGAAAAAACGGGCCCCCAAGACGTCCACGCTCTTGTCCTGAGTTTGTGACTATGTTACCTCATCTGACTTTAAGAAGAGTCGCCTGGATTAAACAGGTGAGCCCAACGTAATCACAAGCGTCCTTTAAAAGTGAAAAAGGGAGGCAGAAGAGGAGAAGTCAGGGATGGAGGTGTTGCTGGCTTTGGAGATGGAGAAATAGGCCACAAACTAAGGGATGTGGGCAGTCTCTAGAAGCTAGAAAAGACATATTCTCTCCTAGAGCCTCCAGAAAGAAGTAGCCCTGTTGACACACGTCGATTTTAGCCCAGTGAGACCCATGCTGGACTTCTGACTTCCAGAACTGTAAGATAATACATCTGTGTTGTTTGTGATAACTTGCTGTGGCAGCCCTAGGGAAAGAATAGTGTGGGTTCCAGTTCACATCCTGGATATCTCCTGGAAGGGAAGCTGCGGAAGTACTTATGGGCAGTCACAGAAATCAGAGAGAAACAGAGTGGAGGTGCTCCTCTAGACACATCTCGGAGGCTTCAGCCGTCTGAGTCTTGGACAAAAGAACTGAGGCTTTGTTCTTCTCTAAGCACTGGGAGTCAATGAACAGACTTTGCTAACAAGTGAGATGCAGAAAACACTTTATTTTGTTTTATGAACAACAACATGGCTCAGATGGCCTCATTCAATGTCATTAGTGACTAAATTCACAAAATATACTTGTCTTTTCTGTCTAGGTAGGTTACATCTGACAGTAGCCCTGGTTTCGAAGCACTGCTTTTAAAACTTGTTCTCTTTCCAACCTAATCCTCATTCCTCCAACCTGCCACTCTAACTCACTTTTCTTTTGCATTTTGTTCTACATGTTAAACTACGGCACAAAGTAAGACTCAAGGTAGATCCGAAGGGCTTCAGAGTACTGAGAAGGGCACAGGTGGTTAGCAATAGGGCCCTTGGCTAAGAATAATCAGCATTAATAACATGAATCTAAAACTGTACTTAAATTCTAACATTGCTAACTTCACAGAAACAGGTTTTTCTAAAACTTCTTATCTAAGCTAAAAGATTCCACTCATACAAATATACCCTTTGACAACCTTAAGGAGCTTTGTTTTGTTTCTTGGCCATAAAATCCTTGCTGAGCTTTCTAATCACATCCCCGTGGCTAATGCCTGCATTGCTGTACAGAACTGTTCTGTAATTCTGCTGCACATACTGGGCAAATGGTCGCACATATGACTTAGTGGGGGTCCCATCCTTCCGAGTTAACGGCAGCATGACCAGAGTCCCCTTGCATTGGGCACAGATAAAGAGGTTGGTGTTCAACGACTTGGTGTAGCGGCCAATCCTAGGGAGGAAAGGGACAGCACACAACAAAGCAATCAGTCACTGTGCCTCAGCATCAGCTCTGAGATGTTGGCCTTGGGCCCAAAGCAAGAATTTCCTCAGGGTTCTCAGAGAGCGGGGTACCAAGGAGCAGCAGTGGCCAGGCCAATTAAAATTAGGAAGGAGAATGCAGAAAGAGCATGGAAAGGAGAGTCAGATAGCAATCTGCTTTACTGACTAAAAATCACTGAAGAGCCACTTGAAGGCCATAATAAAACATAACTGGGAAAAGTCTGGGAAGAATGGTCTTACCTGGATTTGCACTGAGTACATTCATATTGAATCCTGTAGTTAATGGTATAGTTGTGGCAACGGGTGACCAAGGGCAGCTCTGGGTGCACCATGTTGGATTTCATGGCATAATACTTCCATGCATCACCATGAGAATCACGGATACCATCGATCAGCCAGGAGGCTGCATGGCATATTTCATGGATCAAAGTATCACGGAGTCGGTCTTGAAAGAGGAATGAAAACAAAGTGAGCACTAAAACCAATCCTTTTCTGGTCTGCTACCCAGCAACCCTAGACTTTCAGCGCACCACACAAGCCATCTTCCAGAAGCACACACAGGCAGGCATGAGTGTTACCTTCCCAGAATTCTGAAATGAAATTTCCAGCTACTTCAACCCAATTTTGTTAACGGCAGAGAGCCTTTGGCAAACAGGTCTTTTTGGAGCAGCTGCAATGTGCTCATCTTTTTGTGGGGTGTTGCTAGAAAAACATCTAGACAAGACTTGGTTTCTGCCCTTCGGGAATGGAGGTGGATAGGGTGGGGAGCAGTCACTATGGCCATGGGATTTGGTCAGGAGAAGCTCCATGGTGAAACTGAGATCTGAGCTAGGCCCTTACCAATTGACTGGTATTTGCAAAGTTACAAAGGCCATTCTGAGTGTGGTGAAACATGTAAGCATGTAGTACTTTTTTTTTTCATTTTAGAGACCGGGTCTCACTATGCTCCCCAGGCTAGAGTATACTGGCTATTCACAGGTGAGATCATAGTGCACTGCAGCCTCGAACCCCAGGGCTCAAGCAGTCCTCCCGCCTCAGCCACCCAAGCAGCTGGGATTCAGGCACATGCCACTGCATGCAGCCTGTGGTACATTTTGAAGGCCGCTATGAAGAGAGCCCGTTGGAGTAGTGAGACTGGCCAAGTGGAGTGGGCAGATTACAAATGCCTCAAAAGCCAGGCTCTAGGCCTTGAAAAGCCCCAGGTTTTTAAATACAATAAAAGTTGGAGGAGGCTGAGAAGGGAGGATTACTTGAGGTCAGGAGTTCGAGACCAGCCTCTACTAAAAATAGAAAAAAATCAGCCAGATGTGGTGGTGCACGCCTGTAGTCCCAGCTGCTCAGGAGGCTGAGGCAGGAGGATCCTCTGGGCCCAGGAGTTTGAGGTTGCTGTGAGCTAGGCTGATGCCACGGCACTCCAGCCTGGGTGACAGATGGACTCTGTCAAACAAAAAAAAAAGTTCGGAAGAAAAACACCCTAGATTTCTCAGCAGGAAAACAATGCAGGGTGTACAGGAGACTAACTGAGCAGGGATGAGAGCCCATTCCTGGGCGGACTCACGGATGGAGAAGGAAGATTTGATGACTGGCTAGATATACGGGACCTGAACCTCAGCCGCTGAGAGAATGGAGATGCTGCTGGCACAGGGAACATGCAGAGAGAAAGGGACGGTGAAACATCCAATAATGTCCTCTAAGCCAGGGGTCCCCAACCGTTTTGGCACTAGGGACTGGTTTCACGGAAGACAATTTTTCCATGGGGGGGTGTCAGGGGGAGGGTGCAGAGCTCAGGTGGTGATGCGCGGCCTGTTTCCTAACAGGCCACAGACTGGTACCGGGCTGCAGCTCTAAGCAATGCACAGTAGGCCTGTCCACACCAAGGAATGACAGTTCAAGCTGTCACACACGCTGCCAGCTGGGAGTAATTTAACAGGCAGTGTCAGAAGGAAAGAGCACAGTGGTGAGGCTGCCACATTCGTGCCATCACCTGCAGAGTCGCAGACTTTCACAGCAATCTGGATCTTGGCGAAGCGCTCCTTCTTTGGGTACTGTTTCTGGCCAGTGGTGCATAAGCCAGCAGTTCTGAGCATCTTTTTATTCCAGACGATGTCCATCTTCTCCGGCAGCTGAGAATGGAAAGCAAACGGAAAAGAGTCAGAAAGCGGTTCTAAGCAGATCAGAAAATATTCACTCCAGAGTTTTCCTCCCTCTAATAAAAAGTAAAAGGAATTTTCTCCCCCAGGTTCTTGGTTCAGAGCAAGTTGAGAAGAAATCTGTCCAAAAGGCACACAAATCTAAACATTCTGGAGAGAATAAAAGCCAAGTTGGGCCGGGCGCGGTGGCTCACGCCTGTAATCCTAGCACTCTGGGAGGCCGAGGCGGGCGGATCCTTTGAGCTCAGGAGTTCGAGACCAGCCTGAGCAAGAGCGAGACCCCGTCTCTACCAAAAATAGAAAGAAATTAATTGGACAGCTAAAAATATATAGAAAAAATTAGCCAGGCATGGTGGCGCATGCCTGTAGTCCCAGCTACTCAGGAGGCTGAGGCAGGAGGATCGCTTGAGCCCAGGAATTTGAGGTTGCTGTGAGCTAGGCTGACGCCACGGGACTCTAGCCCAGGCAAAAGAGTGAGACTCTGTCTCAAAAAAAAAAAAAAAGGCCAAGTTGAAGTCCAGGTAAAGACAACTAACAGGCAATCAGGACACAAGGGAGACTGTTCAGACCACATGAAGGCAGGATTTGGGCTCCCCTGCATGGAGACAACAGTCTGGGGCACTCGAGAAGAAAAGGACAAGCCTGCTGAGGTGGGCAAGATGGAAGCCTGTGCATGGGAGTGGTGAGGCAGAATTGAAAACGCAACTCAGACCACTTCAGGTTCTGCCCATCTGACGTGACACCACTGTCATCAGGAAGGGCACCAAAGCCTGGGGAACCTTTAGGAAGATATGAGGACTTCCCTCCAGAAAGTCATGTCACCAGAGACAATAATCTGAAAACCCTAGTGGCCGACAGGTCTTCCTGCCTCCAGATTCTATCTCAAACTCCTGGCCTCAAGCGATCCTCCTGCCTTGGTCTCCCAACATGTTAGGATTACAGGTGTGAGCCACCGTACCAATCCAGTTCATGTCCCCGGGCTACTGTCGGATTAATTTCCTTCAGCAGCCACCTGATGTCATGCCCCATCCCTGTGCAGTGGTACCTACTCATGTAAATCTAATCTCCTCCAAGCTGATTGCCAAGGCCCTCCATTACCTGGTCCTATGCTATCAAATATGATAAGCTTACTGTGTCCCAGGCACTGTTCTAGGCACTTTATGCATATTAACTTATGTAGACTTAACAATAATTCTATGAGGTAGTAAGGACTGTTACTGCCCCCATTTTACAGATGAGGAAACTGAGGCAAACTGAGGTTAAGTAACTTGCTCAAGGTAACACAGCTCTTTCCCATTATCCTTCCACATAAATCTTCTCTTCCTGATAGTCAGGCCTCAACACACACCTTTTCCCCCAACACTGTTTTCACCACTTACCATCCTTCAAGAACCAGAAAGAGTCTCACTTCCTCCAGGCAATCTGATTTCCTAACTGTTCAGGCTCTCAGCCATTTCTCCCTCTGCTGATCTCCTGTGGTAACAACCATCTGTCCCATACATTATAACCTGTACACGTTCTTTCTTTCATGTATACACGTCTCACCTCCCCACCTAAACCGCCTCTCGGCAAAGGCGGGAAGTATACACAATTAGCACACCTCATAGCACCCAGGAGTGCTGGCATACCGCCAGTGCTCCATCAGTGCTTATTTAGTGATTCTACCTGCTCATCACAGACGGATCTATTAAACAGGCTGTAGATCCTCTGAACCAGCTCATCCTTATTTTGCTTGAACTTCCTTCCAGAATATTGTTTTAAGTTTTCAAGGCCGAGCAAGAAACATCCAGGTATTTTGCACGTAGGATGCCTGCAAAGGTAAATTCAATTGAGTCTTGTATAGCTTAAGAGATAGGAGAAATAAATGGATAAAAGGTCATGTCAAGGGACTCTCAGAACTTGCTGCTCTCCCTTCCACCCACCTCCTTAGATATGAGGGCATTTCCCAAGCCTCCACTTGTAGCGTCTTCTCTCTGCACACTCTCAGAGGCGTGAAGCCCATGGTTTCAACCTCAACACGACTGGCCCCACACCTGTATCTGAATTTATCTGATGCAAACTCCCAACTAACACTCTCCAGCTGAACATGCGCAGTTATCAAACTTGTTATAACTGGCTGAAAACTCGCAGGCTTTTTAAAATTGCTGTTCTCCCTTACCCATGTTCAACTGGGCGCAGAGACAGACCGCTACCTCCTGCACGTGATCCTGCCCAGCCAGCCGCCCCTGTCCAGCCCCACAGTCCCCACTGCGGTTCAAATTCCTGTCCTCCGCTTCATGCCTTGACATGACAGCATTCCTGTGTCCCTTTCCTCCCGGCTCTTTCTCTCCCATTCCAACCACACAGCCCCTCCAGATTCATTTTCCTAGGCCACATTCTAATCAATGTCCCCCTCTGGCTTTTTATTGACGGCTTGGTCTGGCATTCAGGGCCCTGGTCAATCTGGTCCCAATCTCTATTTCCAGCCACCATTTCTACTCTGGCCGAAGCAGGCAACTTATATGTTCCCTGGACACAAATCGTGATTTCCCGCACTCGAGCCTCAGCGCAGAGAATAGCCACTTGTGTAGCACTTCATCATTTGCAAAGAACTTCCTCTTGTATTGTCATATTTCATCCTCACAACCACCCTTGAAAGAAGCTATTACTATTTTTACAATCTCCACTTTGCTCAGAGGTTAAGGGACTTGTTCAAAAGTCACAGAGACAATGAATCTTCTGACCCAAATCTCATGGTCTTTCTGTTAAACCACAATTGCTGCCCCATCTTTCAAGGCTTAATTCAAATAGCACAAAGAATGGTGCTGAGCACATAAAGGGCTCAGACTGTAATTTAAGCATTATTTAAACTGAAGCATTTTTATCTTAGCTGGAACAACCGACGAGTCCAGAGAGAGGAGCCCACAAAGCTGGAAAGATAAAACAGCAGCAAATACACCAAGTTTCTGACTTAACAGAACTCCAGAGAGTGGGATTTTGCCAGAACATTCATTAACCCTTAAGTCACAAAATACAGCCTATGTGAGGAGGTTGGGGTGGCGAGAGGGGAAAGTATCAGACAAGACAAAGGAGGCTGACACAAGGGTCTTCGACCCAAAGTCTGAAGCCACGACTCAAACACTTCTGCCTCCAATTACTTAGGTTTGAAAGCAGATTTGCATCCGAAAGGGGGGCAGATGCAAACCTGCACCATCTGCAGGCTTCAGCAGAGACCAGGACCCTCGCATGTTTGTGCTCGTAGGAAGCTGGCCTTGTGGCTTAGCGTACTTTCACCTGGAGGCCTGCCCCTTTACTGCAGGCTGAGCTCTTCCACATCAGAGGAACCAGCAAGACCCCAAACTGGGTACATCTGACACCATGACCAGCAAGCGGCCTACACAGGAACAATGCTAAGCACAACAGGAAGCCTCCAGACTGACAGAGGAAGTACCAAAGCAACAGTTACGAGTCCAAACGGGCTAGTCTCCTTTGGATGATGCAAACTGACAATGACACCAAGGGGCAGCTTCTCCTGTCTTTTGTCACATTCTCTGGCAAAGCAACCTGGGAGCTACCCAAGCCACGTGTCCCTATAGGCAAAGCAGCTTAAGTATGTGTCAGGCACTGGGGCAGCAGAGCGACTTGGAATAATATATACTCACATCAGAATTGCCTTACAAGAGAAGGAATGTATTTGAAGGACTGGAGGTTATTTTTTAACCTGTATTTTGGAAGAATAAAGGCATCTTAAGGAAGGGAACGAGAATGATGTGTCAGGCACGGTGCGCTGTGGCGAAAAGCTTAAGAAAAATAAAGGAACACGCAGTCCATTTCATCCTAACATTTAAGCTTTAAAAATTCACATACTATACATGGTAGTTAAGAGTAACTAGGTTCAGCCAGAGCACTAGAAAAGCCTAGAAGACAATCTTGACCCCACTCCTCCCTCCAATTCTGACCATCAGAGCAACTTGTTGCTTCTGCCTTTTCACCATTTCCACTGCCTTTGCTTTGGTTTAGTGAACACTAGTGGCCATGAGGCTGTGTCCAGCCTGAAAAAAAAGTGTCTTGTTTGGCTACACATTCTTTGATCTGAGTTTAAGGACAAAGGCAACCTCAGAGGACAGAGATGCTGTGGGGGGCAGAAAGCGCCCCTCCCACCCGGTACCTGCAGCCATGGTGGCAGGGCACCCACGCCCAGGCAGCGGCGGCCTCCTCCCCTGCTCAGGCCCTCCCATTCGGGGACAGAAACCTTGCCGCTCCCCGCTCCAAACCCGGCCAGACTCCTTCATCCCCTTGCAGACTCCCCGCCACGTGCCCAGTGGACTGCTTGACACGCGACAGCTGTGCAGTCAGTTACCATTGGACTGAACGCGAGCAGTACGTACCCGGCCTCGACTTTTTCAACTTTTGCTGCTCTGGGTTTCCTCTTGGGAGGCTCACGCTTTTTCTGACTTTTAACGGCTGAAAGGATAATAGTTCATTTGTACCCTGAAAATTGGTACCATCAAGCAATTGACAGAAAGGCAAACCCAGGAGGATCCCCCACAGGTGAGCGCAGAGCGACATCTCTAAACAAGTGTCCGAAGCCTGCACACTGCTGCGTTTGTCAACTGAGAATCACAGAGCTGCCAGCAGCGTGAGCCGGGCAGGACTCTGTCACAGCCGCCGAGGACTGTGAAGGTACAGGAGTGTGCCATTAGAGGCTAGGCAGCATGAGCAAAGGAAGCACTGCGGCTGAACCATGGCGCAGCTCACACGCTCGCCCTGAGGAGTGGCTCCCGGCCGAAGCAGCGCCTTCACTCCGGGGGCAAGCCAAATCTTTCCACCTTCGTCTAGGACCCATCCTGCCAGGTGCGCTAGCCGGAGACTGATGTATCAATAGTGTCATTCATTTATTTTAAAAAGTTAGTAAACGTCTATTACATGCCAAACACCAGGCTAGACCCTGAGGGAGATTAAAAGATGAGGAGGAGTCCTCCCGTGAAGAGGCTCGCAGTCTACGGGGGGACGGATTCAGGAACATATTATAACTGTGATTGGTGCTTTAGGAGAGACAGGCTCTAGAACTTAGGGAACCCAGGGAGGGAGGAGCCACTCTGACTTATGGCTTCCTAAGGAAGTGACAATTGGACTGGGTCCTAAGAAAAATGGGATATCCTCAGGACAAAAGGCACAGGCAGGAAACACTCCAGGCCTATGGAACAGAGAACACTAAGGGAGTATGAGAAATATGTGGGCATTCCTCCCCCATTCCCAGAACAATCCTTTTGCTGGGATGGCTGTCTCCAGTGGCCACTAGGAAGTTGCTGAAATAGCACAGGGTTGGCAGGTGAGACAGACAGACCCAACAAGACAGACAAACTTGGCAGGCTTAGGCGCATTTGGTGGGACAGGAATACTTGGCATGACTGGCTTACCAGGTGGCACACAAATATGTTTGGTTTTTTGCTTCCTTTTCCTTGGTTGTTCCGCCACAGTTTTAGGCTCTTCATCAGTTGACATCTTTCTATTTGAAATCTTTAGGTTAGCCTCAGGATCATTTGGTGGCTGGCTGAGATTTCCAGCAAGATCTTGCTCCCCAGCATCATCAGATGCATTGGGCTGGGAGACAGTAGGTTCTTCCAGCTCTTTCTCATCTGAGGCAGCTTGGCCCTGATCACATGAATCCCCTTCTTTTAGCACAGGATCCTTCAAATCATTGCTGTCATCATCTTCCTCAAGTACCAGAGGCTCCATGATGGTCGGCTCATCGTCAATATCCAGTAACTCCTCAGGAATCTCTTCTGAAATGCAAGACACACAGTCATATATATACTCCCTCCACCCCCACCGTATACACTAAGCTTCAGCAGATATTGAGCTCAAATTAAACGAGCTGGGAACTGTGACGTTTTGAATCACAGTCAAGAATTAGCTATTTTGGATTGTTTTCCCTATATTTCTTTTTTATTTTACTGACAGCAGTGACAGGTAAAATAGCAATCAAAGTCCAGGAGCAATTTCCACATCATTCTCTAAGTAGCACTATGTTGCTCAGGGGTTCCCAAATACGGGTCCTGCAGACTTACGGGTCTTCACTGGTCCACAGCAAAATAAGAGAAATAAGAATAATGAAGTGGCGTTTTTGTCCCCATCAAGTTAAATTTCTGTAATTTAAAGAACTGTCCTGACTAAACTTTTGGTGCTCTTCACTCTATGAAATTATGGAGATAGTAGATGGTAGTTGGATTTTTTTTTTTATTTTTCATTAGACAGATTAAAAATTGGCAACTCTATGTTGGTCGCCAAAATTTCCTTTTTTTCTATTAGACCGTAAGTGCAAAGCTCTCAGAACCACTGACTAAGAGTGAGGAATTGGGTCCTGACACCAGCACTCTCTGAGAGGCCTTGGGAACACGCAGAACATCACTGTCTGCACTGAGCGTCGGCACCTGGAAATGAAGGCCAGCGTGTCTGACACCACATGCTCTGTGGGGCCTGTTTGGAACTCGAGGTCTAGGTTTCTATGATTCTGGATGTAAAAAATCTAAACCATGGCATGGAGAAGACATGAAGATATATTTATGGTACAAAACCTCTTTATCCTAAAACTGTAGCTTCTGAGTGTCTCATTTGTTATTTGAATTAATTATGAAAGAACTTCAAATATGAAATAAGGAAAGAGGAAAGGAGTAGGTACTCTTATGGTAAAAAAGTCCTCCTTCCTAGAAAATTTAAAGAATTTCCACTTGCAGTTGAAATTTAAAACTTTTTAAAAGTAGAGACACATTGCTTACTATATATATATATATATATATATTTAAAAATGACTGTGACAGTGAGAAAGGTTAGAAGTGAGGTTGGAGTATGTTTTAAAGCTCATCAGATCTTTCATTCTATAGAATTTCCTAAATTCATTACAATCATGAAAGAAATGCCATGTGGAAAATAGCAAAGAAACATACAAAACCAGTCCTGTGAGAGCACCCTCCACTGCTGGGCTGGATACCCACAGGTAGAGCCCACGGGCCAGCAAGGTAAGAGCAGCCTCAGCTGAAAGTTCGCCCTCAAAAGAACACATCTCTTCTGATTCAAGGAGTCAGAACCTGGCGGCCTCTGGTGGTGAACTGGTTTCTGTTCCTGTCACTCCTGCCCTGCCCTCAAGCTGCCTCCGTGGGGTTCCCTTCAGTATTGGAGCAGCTTGTCATGTCAGACCCCCTGTTCAGTACCCAGACCTCTGTCCCGTTCAGGCACAGCCACCCAGAGCTAGAGAGAGGGAGGGGGGAAGAAAATTAAGGGGACAGGTGGTGAAACAACAGAAGACTAGGGCTCCAAGCCACCTTTCCCTTCCCTGCTCTGATATCCCAGGTTAGCTAGGAAACTGTGGCCAACGATAGCTGTTGGGCAGTGATCTAAGAAGTAGCCAGAGAAAGTATATAGTCATTTTTTATATATTGTAAGCACTGTGTCCCTACTTTTAAAAAATTTTTAAATTTCTTTAAGGGCCTCCCATTTTCAGTTGAGTTCAGCTTAGCAAACATTAATTAGGTGCCCAAGTATCATGCCCTACACCTGGTACTGACTGAACAAAGATCAATGAAATACCATCCCTAATGCTTAAGAAGCTTCTAGTCTTCCTGTGTCTCATGCCCACTGAGAAGGTAGGTTCTGAACTGCAAGTAAAGCTCTGAGCCTCACAAAAAAGCCTCTTTGAATCCAAAGAGGCAAGGATCTCCTGTGGGAAACAGGCTCTAAGAAACACAGGAATTTCTAGGAAATATAAAGGAAGTGGCAAACAGCAGACATCAACAGCTCGATGGAGAAAGCAAGGATTTCCCAACATGTCACTGCCAGCTGGCCCACAACCATCACCCACCCAAGTGTCCATCAAGCTGGAAGAACAAGTCCATGCCTCCTACTCCTTTCCTCCTCCTTGTCATTCCCACACATAGAGAAGGAGGGGAAGAGAGGAAAAGGGAGTAGCAGAGCAGCCTCCATACTTCTCAGCCTCAGTTCTCGACTTTGTCCCCTCTGCTCCCCTGGTATAGTTCTAGGCAAGCAAGAACTCTACTGAGGGGGCCGCCTGAGGTCTAAGGCAGAAAGAACAGCGGCTTCTGTGTTAGGAAATTGACCAAGAGGTACAGGGAACCCAGCCGTATCCACATCCAGCACATAGGAGGAAAGAAATGGTGGCACTTGCTACTAAGTGATTCCAAACAAAGTTTGCTGACTCCGATCCTCAAACTACTGTGTGTGATGAGGTTTCAGAGCTCAGCTGCTTCTCTAAGGGAGTAGTGTACTTGCCGTCATTGCTTATTTCCACTATCCTGGCTTTCTTTTCCTTAGAGAAGTATTCATCGTCAGATTCCCAGTCAATCATCTCGAAGCTGAGTGATGAGAGGGGGAAAAACAAGAGAAATATGAATGCAACAGTCTCCCTGTCATGGCATTTTCAATGAACATGATCACTTGTCAAAGTTTTGTCTTTTCCCCACAGTAATTCTGTTCCCCTTCTTTGGAGCTACTCAATCTTTCCATTATTCCTGATTTTCCATCTTTTCCATCTTTCTACTGCATCTTCCTGTCTGTCTCACATACTTCTTTTTTTTTTTTTTGAGACAGAATCTTCACTGTGTTGCCCGGGCTAGAGTGCCGTGGCGTCATC